AAAAAGAATATCCCCCAACCTATATCTGTTTTCATTGATATCCATAATTATTCTTCTAAGCTTAGTCTACAATATGTTTCTAATCTATTTCTAATTTATTTCTTATTTATTTCTTAATTAAGGTCTTGTGGAACCATAACACAAATATTTGACATCGGAATCCAGAATCTCTGGAATTCGGAAAAAAATATTTATTCATTGAAAATAGTAGATAATAATGAAAAAATCAATAATTACTAGGCTTCTAGCGCACGTCGTGCCTCTTTTTAAAAAAACAATTTAAAGGGAGAGACCTGCAATGTTTGGAAGTTGAACTGAGAATGTAGTATTTTTAGAATTAATTTGAGACATATAAAAAGTTTAAAGCTTCTCACTATCAAGGTGACAGGGTGACATTTTTTGCGAGCAACATTTTTTAATTTCGAGATCATCATAGATCTGGAGCAGCTAGAAGATCAAGCCAGACTTAGGATTTCAGGAGCAGAAGCTAAACCTGATCTTTACAGACAGCTCTTCATAGATCTGGAGCAGCTAGAAGATCCAGTTAGATTTAGGACTCCAGGAGCAGGAACCTGATACTGGAGACGCTGATCTTTACAGACAGCTCTCCACCCAGGGAAGGTTTACGAATGATCAAAATTAAAATAATTTGTGTTCAAAAGTTTTTTATTTTTGTAGAAATATTTTCTCAATTTAGATAGAAGCGCGCCCTAAAAGCCTATTAATCTATATTGCACAAATTGAAATGCTTCAAATAAACTTTGAGTTTGATAGATTAAGGTTTAACGGTGAGCAGAATCAGAAAACCATACAGGAAAATGAATTCTAGGTATAACTCATACCTAGAGTAAGTCCTGAACCCACAAGTGCAGGTCCCATCAGTTTTAACTGTATGGTGGAGAATCCTTTATCCCCTATACCAACACAAGTTATTATCAGACCTAGACAAATACATAAATAAATACACTATACACCAGGGTACACAAGGGTACACCAGGGTACACCAGGGTACACCAGGGTACACCAGGGTACACCAGGGTAAACCAGGGTACACCAGGGTATACCAAGGTACACCAGGGTACACCAGGGTATGCGTAATTTCAAAAGACTTTCCATTTAAAGAAGATCACTCCCGATTCACAACTGTATCCTTTGAACCTTGGACTGATCTTTGAGGACAGAGACCTCAGTGTAAATATCTCTTATATTGAGTAAAAGCCATAAAGTTGAAGTGTAAATATGATATTCTATGTCCAATGCAGTTTAAAAAATTCTGATATAAATATTTCTTTTCTGCTACTTCTAGAAATTAAATATTAATATTCCTTAAAGGGAGTGTTCACGAAAAATGAAAGGGGGTACTACTAATCTTACTTCTATCTGTTGCGTCTATAACGAGAAAATTGTTAAAGACGTCTCATACCGAATAACTTAACGCCCATACAAATTGAGAAAATAGCAACATAAGACTTAGACCGTAAAAAAATCAATTTAATTTTAAACTAATCATTCAGATATTACAACCTATAGTGATCGATTATCTTTCGCCACATTTGTATATAGTTTATATTTTATAATATTTTTAAATTAATTTGTTTTGAATTTGATTATTTCTCTTGTAGCTTGCGCAACTATGTGAGAATGCCGCGCACCACTCACATTTTGCGAAATCCGTTAAAACGTTATCTAAAACAATAAAATATTATAAAATATAAACTATATACAAATGTGGCAAAAGATAATCGATGACTATAGGTTGTAATATCTGAATGATTTGTTTGAAATTAAATTGATTTTTTTACGGTCTAAGTCGTATGTTGCAATATCCTCAATTTGTATGGGCGCTACGTTCTTTGGTATGAGATGTCTTTAATAATTTTCTCCTTATAGACGAAACAGATAGAAGAGTTATATTAGTAACGATCAAAAGCGCTTTTTATCGCATTAAGTCTATACCTCCTTTCATTTTTAGCGAACACTCCCTGTAACACTAAAATGTAAGCAAAATACTGAATTGGAAGGGAGGGAGAGGACTTTAAAACGTACTGAATATTTGATGTTTGTACCGTATGAATAGGCCATAATCTCTTAATATCCTATATCAGTAAACTGTCTTAATCGTACACACAGCCAGGTAGCTAAGTTCCAGCCCCCTGTGTTAATTTTTATAAATGCCAGTGCAGTTATCTTGTGATTTGAACCCCTGTAATGTGCTAGCTGGAAGTCATTATTTTGAGAACACTAATTAGATCATAAAATTAGCTATGACTTATTTGGATTCTTAATTAGTAATAATTTAAACTATGTATTAAACTTTTACATCAACAGTTCAATTAATTTTACCCATTTAGAAGTTTACAGTTCAGAATGCATTTTTAAGATATTTAAGAATTAATATATGATAAAGATCTGCTGGGTTTACTTAAACAAGGAGGTATATTTNGAAATACATTAAATATATTTATATATTTTCATGCATGTAATGTATTTTAAAATACACTACATACATATATTTATAAATTTAAATACATTAAATAAATTTATATATTTGAATGCATGTAATGTGTTTTAAAATACACTACATACATATATCAATTTAAATACATGAAATAAATTTATATATTTGAATGCATGTAAGGTATTTTAAAATACACTACATATATATATAAATTTAAATACATTAAATAAATTTATATATTTGAATGCATGTAATGTATTTTAAAATACACTACATACATATATAAATTTAAATACATTAAATAAATTTATATATTTGAATGCATGTAACGTATTTTAAAATACACTACATACATATATTTATAAATTTAAATACATTAAATAAATTTATATATTT